CAAAAGCAGGGATTAAATAAAGTTACACATATATACATATGTCTATGTAAAATTTTGAAATGGTACAGAAGAAATTATCACACCAGCAAAATGAAAAAAGCCTTCCAATAAGAGATGCTTCTTGGTGTAAATTGTGAATGAATTTTGCATAATTAACGTGTTTTCACTGATTATCTGGAGATCAACCCCCCCATAAAATGGCACAAGAAACTAACAGAGCAAGATCATGCCAGGTGCCAAGGCATTTGTCTGCTCTGCAAAAACACTTAAATATTTATGCCTAAACGCTCACTAAATCTGGGCTAAGATGCTTTACTTCTCCTAGGATCAAGCTCACTAGAAGTAATAGTTTCAAATGTTAAGCTCCTTGAGAACAAACTCAGAGCCCAATAAAAAACCACCAAACTAATTCCAAGTTTCCATAAAATTTCCTGAGAGGTTAAGTCTGAACAGAGCTAATGGTATCTCTCTGAAAATATGTAGGAAGGAGAAATCAAATTCTACTTTTTAAACTACTGTATATTTTTTTCAGTATTTTTAGAGCTTTTGGATTTGTTTCTGTGTGTGGCTATATATGAAAACCTCTAAAGAGTCATTAAACCAAAAGGAAAATAGGACTACTCTATCTCTAACTAGTTCCCAGTATGTCCCTAGATGCTTTTATGGCCACCCTAGTTTGCAAGTTAGCGTATTGTAGGGAACAAAACAAAAAAAAAGGGGAAATCAGGCTATTAAGAATGGAAAAGAATGAGTGTTTACACTGAACAGTTAGAGAGATTTTAATGAAACTTTCAAAGAAGATAAATACAGCCACTTTTAAATTGTCTTATCCCAGGATGCATTTTGACTATGTAAACACACTGTACAGTGTTGTTATTGGTTAATAGCGATAGAAAATTTCTAACAGGATATTGAAATAGAAAGTTTCTAACAAAAATAAACCCTAGCATTCCCAAGCACTACTAAAAAAAAAATAAATAAAAAGGAAAGCAGTGCTTTGCTTTTTCGGCTAGGAAGAAATATGGAAAAAAAGTGCAGTGAAGTCTAGAAAAAGAATGTCCTGAGAAGCGGGACTGACAATGAGCTTTTGACTGACTGCCCGGAGCTGTGACTCTGTCTTCCCTGTTGCTTAGCAACTCCATGTTATCACAAAGAAACTGATATTAAGTTGGAACAGGCTGGATATGGTAATTTACGTGGGAAGATACTCTTGCAGTGGGAAAACCATTTTATTTCTAGTTTCTGTCAGCGTAAGTAGGTTTCACATGATGAACTGTAGTACATCCCCTGTTGGGTGCATTTTACCTAAAAAGGTAAAGAGTGACTCTGCCTTGGAAAGAGACTGTGCAGAAAAAAAAAAGAAAACCAACAAAAACCCCCACCTTGTTATTCATTAGACCTGATCCTAGTGTCTACTCAGACATTTCTTCCAGTGGTAGCGACAAAAGCTTGTTTTCATACCTGTGTGGATCCAGTGCAGATTAGAGAGATGGAACTCGATCATTATCATTTATACTATCACAGTCCCTAAAAGCTGTTGAGATTTGCCCAAGACCTCACTGTCTTATACAAACATTTAAAGATGATCCTCACTTTATCTGAATAGTCCCTGTGCTTTCTTTTGCGTTGGCAATAGTTAAGTGCTGAGTTTCAATTGCACTTTATTTCTTCCCTGCTGAAAGAAGAGGCTGCACACGTAGCAGTTACAGAATAATTTGAACACCATGACAGAAACTGTCATTCAACTTTGAATTTGGGTGGTACTGTATGGGTGGGAAAAGACTCAATTTTTACTGAGGTGTATGGAGAGAATGGCAAGGGTATGTATGTAAAGCAAATCTTATCGTGAAAGCTTTGAGCCACAAGACATAGGTAATCCATAATGGTGTTTTTCTATTTGGGTTTAGGTCTAAGATTTAACTGGAAAGAGAAAAAGCATAGAAGACTCAGGATTTAATGCAAACCCCTTTTTCTTAAATGTCTGGTTTGCTCGTAGCTCTACCGAACCACCACCACAGTCTCTCTGCATTTCCATCCTGCACCATTTCTAGTAATTTAACACCAACATGCAGTCCTACAAGTAAGGAAGTACTTCACATGTCTTCAGGACTCCCTGTTCTGGCTTTGGTCAGCAAAACACTCCCTGTCCCCAGGCTTCTCTATGCTGCAGAGTTAACTTGAAATATAACTCAACTTTTGCCCTTGGCTCAAATCCCAACCATACACAAAAACTTCTGACTTGAGTATGTTGATGCTGTTCAGCTGAAGGGATTGGCCTGGACTGTCAGAAGGCACAGGCAGCAGCTTCAATTAGCATAGCTAATACAGTTACCCGGTGCTGCTCCAAGAACTTGTCTTCATTGCCAAAAAAGGTGTATTTTTACTGTGGGATAATTAGCCTGAATTAACCATCCTTATTTAAAAAAAGCCCTCCACCTCTTTTCTTACAGTGAAGACATTGCTTCCCTATTAACTCAGAGTGTCCTCTTTTGCTGAGGCTAAGCTAACTGAAGAGGAATGAACTCTGCAATGAAAACAGCCCACAGTGTCCTAGGCATCAAATAGACCCATAGATTGCAAGCAAAGTCCTTTTCTGAACTGACTCATGGTGGGGAGGTAGCTTCCTTGCTCACTTTTCATTTGGCCAGCACAGCTTGCATCCTATCTACCAAACTAATGAGTTTGTCTCCTTTTTAATTTACCACATCACCTCCAATAAATCCAAAAATGCTCTGGGCTGTTATCTGACTTGGAGGGAAATAACTACTGGACTGACTCCAGCAGCAAGACTGGCTTAATTAAAACACAGTGTATTTCCCAAAATGGTAGTGACCAATTTTATTCTGAGTGCAACCTAAAACAACTTTACAACAGAATGGAATAGATGAACTTTGCTTTACCCTGAAGCTTTCAGTACTTTTAAACCGAGTTCTCCTGCTAAATCATGAAGAGCTGATTTCCTACACCCCCTTACCACTAGCAGCTAGAGGCTAACTTTACCCACCTTAACTGTTGTCTTCCAAGCTAATTGCTAACACATACCGCCTGTTCCTTAAGCCCCGGCATCAGGGTAACGTAAAGCTTGCAGACAGTCTCCCATACCTTATGCTCATTGCATTCGCTCATGCTTGCTGTAGAGTGTTTTCTATGCCAAGTAGCAGCATCCTCTGGCTTGTGGGCCATGCTAGACTAAGGGCAGCAAAGCTGTAGCACCTCCTCTGTGTGGCAACAAAAATACCTCTACACTTCCCATCATCTAGGGGTGGGTTCGTGGGTTTTTTTTTAGATTGAATGTGTTCTTTAAACAGTTTGGTCACTATGACTTTTATTAAGGCAAAAAAAAAGCTGCTTCCTGTAGCACCCATATTTTCTGTATGCAATGTTTCTCACTGGTGAGGAAAAATTGCTGATATGGTTTTTTATTCTTGAATTCTGCTGAGCACAGAACAAATAAGGGTACAAATGTGAGACAGGCAAGGAGTAGTTAGGAGTATGTACCCAGCACCTTTCGGGGTACACTGACCAAGGGAGAGGTACACCGAGCAAGGGAGGCAGCAAAGCTCTGGGGAGAGATGCTGTGGACACAAACCAAGGCGAGGGATCCCTCCCATTGTGGCCAAGTGGAGCTCTCCAAAAGCATTGCTGGGAGCCAAGAGGAGTTCCCAGGACTGGGGAACTGCTGAAAGCCACCATTCCTGTCTTGCCCACCGTGTCCATTAGCACTTACAATTATTTTCAGCTAGGCATAGTCTCAGAGAGTGTTTAAAGGAGGGTGGGAGTAAGAAGAGAAGTTTAAACATCTTTTTGTTTCCAGCACTACCCAAGTGTCTCTATAAGACTGGATGACTCAGCAGGTGAGATATATAGCTTGCCACCTCCAAGATTTTTATTTCATATCTGTCTCAGGTTTGTAATGACTGTAGGACTGAAAGTGATAAAAAATTAAACTGGATTTAGAAGCACTGTTATTGGCTTATATTAATGTTATGAAGTTAACTCTCTCAAGTCTTTTCTCTAGTTATGCCTTCATGTTGACTTGCGAGGATTGGTACAGAAATTAATTGAAAGGCAAATTAAAATAAGAATTGATAAGAGTAACTCAACTTTATTTTTGTTTGTGGTAGTGCTATCAACTCTGAAAATACAGCTGGTCTCCTTTGTTCTAGTACCAATCCTAGCATGGGGAATTACAAGGTGCACGTGTGTTTCCCTCAGGGTACAGAAGAACCACAGAAGCTGTAGGTGAATAAGCAGACATGTTGAGCCAAGGTGCAAAAGTGATTTTATGTGCCTAGAATGCAAAATTAATTTACAGGCTGGAGAGCCAACAGATATGGGATTGGGAAGGCAGTAAATTTGAATTTTGGGTACTAAAAAACTAGCAAATCAAAAGACAACAGAGTAGACAAATCTTCTAAAGGTTAAAGAAAAAAACACAAACAAAAATATCAGCAGAAACCTTTGCCCCCTCCAATAACGTTGAGTATGACTCATGGGTTTGTGAATTTTGATGGGTGGTGGTACAAAAATTGTTCTATCTACTACTGACAGATGGTAGGTTTCTTGGTTTTAAAAATATGAAAACAACTTGATCTCATGTACCTTGGTTTAAAAATAAAGCTCTTTTTATAGCATGTCTCGATTTTGACAACCATACTGTGCAGTAAATATTGGATTCCACGTACACACATTTTAAAAGCCTAAACCAGACTCCTGTTTTAGGGGTAGGCTGATCCTCTGAGTTTGTGAAGCCCTCAGAAAGAGGACTCGCGGCTGAACATAATGGCTTTTTGTGTTTAACTCCGAAGTTTGAGTTGGTTGTGGGTTCAGCTTTGAATTTAAAAATGCATTTCCTTGTTCGGTAGCTTTCTCAAATTTAATTTCAAAGATGTGTAAATACTAAGTTTTCCACCTTTTTGTGATGGTAAGCCTGGAATAAATCTGCAGGAGTGAAATGTAATTGAATCTAGAAGTAAAATGATTTCTTCTTCATATTGCAGAGCACAGATAACTCAAATATATCTATAATTGCTCAGAACAAAAAGTGCTTTGACAATGATATTGTTTGCTCAAAGAATGTTTTCATCACTGTTGGAGACACTGAGATTTATTTTAGTGAACCTTCTGAGAAGCAGGTTAGTTACTTTCTTTCCTTTTCGGGTTGTCCTTTAAGATAAGCATTGTAAAGTTACAACTCTAAAGGAGGATGTTTCTGGAAAACATCTCTCAGTCTGAGTTAACATAGTACAAGTGCCTAGGCCTGGATAAAGCAGCAGGCCCCAGGAAAAAATCTTATTTTTTCTTTTTTTTTTTTTTGACTTCTATTTGTCCTACAAAGACGACTGCTCAAAAGCCTCAAGCAGTCGAAGCATATTGGCATTTATTTGTTTCTTTCCACTTGGTTTTGAAAGGGAAAAAAAAGTCCAAAATCAAAGCAAACTTGAATGATTGAAAAGACAAAATATCAAAGTATTAAACAACATTTCTAGTAATATTATTGATACAGCTATATGCTAAAGGTAACATATTCTTGACTATACACTTTGTTATTAATTGGCTGCATACCTTGGTAGAATTACTTTATTAGATCTTAATAAATATTCTTTCTGTCAGAAGACCTTAAGGGGACAGGAAAACAAATCTAACTATCAGCTTTGGAAGGCTGGGTATTATACCGTCATACACTTTCCAGAACAGGACATTACAATTCTGTGGGATAAGAAGACAATGATGCATGTTAAAGTTGGACCTCGATGGAAGGTGAGCCAAAATAAAAACCTGAGATTTTGTGTAGCTCTCTGTGTCGCTAATGTGATCTCTTACTGAATATCTGTGATTTTCCTTTCTTCATGACTAACTTTCCCAGTGATACAGCTGTTTATCACGGTGTTCAGCTGCTAGCATTTCCCAGCTAAGAAGAGATGGAGAATGTGATTTAATGGCTGGACTCCTGAAGAGAAGGGGTGGTTCCTACATGCATGTTTACTCTGTTGCTCCACACATTGCAACCTTGCAGATATGCAGTGATTCAGCTCTGACTCAAAGTTACTCTGGGAGTGGGAAGAGAGGGTTAGTTTTGAGTTACCCAGTTCACTGCATGTTTTCATAATTGCTGAAGTCAGTGGAAAAGAAGTTTCCATATCTAACGACATTGAAGATGGCAGGTTTGCAGCACAGATTGGATTAGGCTGATGATGGAACTGCACCCTGAGATGTAGTAGAGGCTGCTGAGATGAACAGATGAGTCACATCTTGGGTTTAAATTAAGAAGACAAGATACAGGAAAGGATCTAGATAAAAACTGACATTTAAACCTAATAATTATATTGTGACAGGGTTCAGCCACGATGCAGGAAAGAATATGAGGCTCTTCCTCTTGCCAGTTGCTCTTCTCTCTTCCATTCCTACATCATCATCTGCCTTGGTGTCTCTGCAACTCCGTCTCTGGGTCCTGGCAGAGTAACCTTATCTGCACATTGATAATTAC